ATTTATATATAATTTATAAATAAAAAAAAAAAAAAGAAAGGGGGGGGGGGGGGGGGGGGGGGGTTAATAATGGTGGGGTAATGGTGAAAATCATTAAGATGGATTAAATTGGAAAGTTCGAATAGTTTCTCAAGTTTTTTTAAACTATTGTACTTTTAAGTTTAAGTTCATGTGATAAATAAATTTATTTAAATTACACGTATAAGTATTTAATTGGTTTATATGACGTGTATGTTTCACGTACTTTTTTCGTTATTTTTTTTTATTAAAACATTGTTTAAATTATACGTATAACTATTTAATTGGTTATTAATGTGTATATTTCACGTTTTTTTACCTTTCTCTTAAACTAAAAAATTATTTAAACTACACGTGTAATTATTTTCTTGATTCATCTGACGTGTCTATTTCACGTACTTTATACTGAAATTTCATTTAAATACAAGTACTTTATGCATACTTTCTCCAGTCTCTTTTTACTAATAGTTTGTTTAAATTCTCTGTGTAATTATTTAATTAGTTCATTTAACATGTATATTTCACATACTTCCTCCATTTCTTGTTTATTAATCCAAGTGAACTATACATCCTTCTTAAGATATCATTTATTAAGTATTTGACGAAGAGTAAAATTTCGTGATAATTTTTTTTTTTTTATACTTGAAATTGTTTCATTTGAGACGAGAGTCTCTCGGAAATTGTTTTTATATTAGTGCCATTTTTATCATTTTGTATATAGTAAAATGAAAAGTTAAAAGGCGTTTCAATTTGCGTATTAAAGAGAGCGTATTCCCTCCCTTTTTTATCCGGCACTCACTTTGTAGTTTGTTCCCAAAATTGAGCAAAAATTGGGGGAAAAAAGGAGAGCCGAAGCGGTGCATAATTTAACGGCAATGGCCGGCGACAGTGACGGTACAGATCCCGATTACGAGAGGTTTCTCCGTCAAATCGGCGCCGCCGCCGACGAGAGTGAACTCGCCGCCGGTGACATTATTTTGTTAGAAGATGGAGAAGAAGAAGAGGAAGAAGAAGAGACGGATGAAGACGAAGAAGAAGATGAAGAAGAGGAGGAGGAGGAGGAGGAAGAAGAAGAGTCGAGTACTGGAAGGAGGACGTTGCGTAGGGTTTTGTATGGAAATCGTGGTGCTGCGAGAATTTCATCTCCAGAGCGGGTGATTAATGTTGAGAATTTGGATAATTCTGCTGTGGAAAGTGGAGATGATACGAGTAGGAGCAAAGAAGGGGAAACGGCGTCGCAGAATGCTGATAAGGAAGAAGGCGGTGGAAGCGGTGTAGGAGAGGAGTGGAATCGAAGTGAAATTGATGGTTTGTTTTGTTCTATTTGCATGGAAGCTTGGACAAATGACGGTGAACACCAAATTTGGTCAGTAATTTACTTCCTTGTACTTCAATGTAGATAATTTTTTGTAATCATGATGAACGTCAGTAGCAAACAACCATCAAACATATGAATCCACAGTATCTACTCTCCTGAATTTGGAACAGTATTGATTTTGAAAAAAATAGTTGTACATATTATAAGATTTTATACATAGCTAAGGATTGCAGATTACAGTTTACAATAGTAATGTTGAGTTCCGGCTTAGCATAACTGAATGTGCTACGCCTGTAAGTGAGTGTAGAGCCATCTACATTCAATAGACAGACGAAAAGAAGCCTCAGGTGAATGATATAGCACAATGTATGTTGTTTCTGCTCTAGAAATCTGTTTTTGTTCTGTATTTTATTTGTTCTCAAGATCTTTGAAAATATTGTTTTAAAACCTTCATCTTATCGAAAAAAAGAAAAAAATCAGTTTAGTTCAACATGTAAAAGGGAAATAAGATTTGTAAAAACAGCGGTTTTTTTGAAAACTTGAGCAAAGTGCTATAACCTCGAAAGAAATGTTAGATGTTGTAGAAGACTTCTGTTTAGTTTTCCTTGAAGATGAAAAAAATTCATACTAAACTTAGGTCAGTGAGTTGTGTTACAAAATTTAGGAGTTTGTTTCAATTGGCTTGATTGTAATACGTATTCATGCAAATTCGAATAAATACTACATGGCTGGCACATGTCTCTTTATGGATTGAAAGGAACAAAGATGTTTTGATGGTGGCTGTAACACATGTCTCCTCAAGACAACTTTATTAACACTATAGATGTCTTTTGTATTTATGTAGCTGGCCCAATGTGTCCCTTGTAGATTCCTCTAACAAATTTTTGCACCTTATTAACTCCTTGGTCTTAGAATGGCCATGTACGCAAATAAGCTAATTCAATATCTTTTGTAACCATACTACTCTTTTGCATCTTCTTGATGCTTTCAGTGAAGCTTTTTTACTTCATCTAAAACTATCATCACCCTCCCTATTGAAGCACTTGGGTTTTCTGTTCTTTTGACAAGTGACAGTTGAATGATCATGGTTCACATCCTACAAATGGTGCATAAACATAGAGGATGAATTGATGGAAGGTTGTTTGATTTTGTTTGTGGATGTTCTGCATACCATGCATTGGTTAGTAGGTGGACAAATATCATGATTTAAGGTATCAAAAGGATATGAAGTAGACCTAAAATACATGGAGAGCAGTTGTCACTAAAGTCTTATCATCTCTTGAAATCAATGTGGTTAGAGCTAAAAACATACAATGTAAATAAAAGACTCATCCAACTAATTAAAATTATGGTTAGAGACTTGCATTTTTTTGTAATCATGTCATCAATTATATTAGTAAAATGGCCAAAAACGGCCTAATACAAGTATACCAAAAAGTAAAGAACCTACAAGGCTACAACACTACATGATTCTCTACAAAAGATGCCCAATCCTCTATACAACCCGGGCATGTTACCCGGCATTAAATGGGTGTGCCAAAGCCCAAAAATCAATAAGGGATTGGAGGCTACTCCTCAACTGCCCAAAAATCAACTCTACCCCTTCAGAAGCCCTCTTATTTCTCTCTCCAAATGATCCATATCAACGCTAAATGAACGACATTCCAAGCTCTACACTTTCTCTTTCTTCTTCCAGTTTTCCAGCACAACAACATTTCTTTCACAGATCTAGGCATCACCAAAGTTAGATACTTACATGTCACTGTAGGGACAAGTTTGGTATTTTACAGAATTTTTAGTTTGAGAGAATTCTTGACTTGACGCGAAACATGACTTATTTTAGTAATGTAATGATTCTTGACCCAAATAAAGTTGAACGTATATTGATAATCCGTACAGTTGACCAAACTAGTGAAGTTGAGGTTTAGCTGATTGATTGATAGATATACGACTTATAATTGAAAATATATTTTTCAAGTGTTAATACTTCCATTGTCTTCCGGTGTCTAATCTTTTGCAGCTGTCTTCCTTGTGGGCATATATATGGTTTGTCGTGTATCAAAAAGTGGTTGAAACAAAAAGGAAGGTTAGGAAAGGTATTTCTTATAATAATTTGGTCCTTGTTTTATACAATATTTGAAGATCCTATTTCAGTTCATCCTTCACATTCTTTCTTTTGTGCTTTTGCAGTGCCCCCAATGTAATAAGAAATGCACAGTGAAGGGTATTCGAGTACTTTATGCTTCTCGACTTCATGCTGTTGATGAAGAACTTCAAAAGGTCGTAATTTGACACTTATATCTTGAACGTTGCTCCATGAGATACTGATCAAACTCCTTCCTCTTTTGCAGAAAATTAGGTCTCTTGAAGCCAGTTGTTTTTCTCTT